AGGTGATCTGCCCACCTCGGCCTCCCAAAATACTGGGATTACAGGCATGAGCCACTGCTCCTGACCTCAAGCAGTCTTCTACCTCAGCTTCCTGAGTAGATGGGACTACAGGCACATACCACCACGCCAGGCTAATTTAAATTTTTTTTTTTTTTTTTTTTTTTTTTTGCATAGATAGATCTCACATTGTTGTCCAGGCTGGTTTCAAACTTTTAGCCTCAAGAGATACTACTGCCTCATCCTCCCAAAGTGCTGGGATTATAGATGTGACCCATCGTGCCTGGCCCCATGTTCTTTTTGTTTGTTTTTTAATTGACATACAGAATGTACACTAGATGGCTACATGTTCTTTTTTTTTTTTTTTTTGAGACGGAGTCTCGCTCTGTCGCCCGGGCTGGAGTGCAGTGGCCGGATCTCAGCTCACTGCAAGCTCCGCCTCCCGGGTTTACGCCATTCTCCTGCCTCAGCCTCCCAAGTAGCTGGGACTACAGGCGCCTGCCACCTCGCCCGGCTAGTTTTTTGTATTTTTTAGTAGAGACGGGGTTTCACCGTGTTAGCCAGGATGGTCTCGATCTCCTGACCTCGTGATCCGCCCGTCTCGGCCTCCCAAAGTGCTGGGATTACAGGCTTGAGCCACCGCGCCCGGCCGGCTACATGTTCTTTATCAGATATGTTCTTTGCAAAGATTTTCCAGTTTGTGGCTTGTCTTTGCTGCGCTTTAGAAGACACTATTAAAACAATGACGTTTTTAATTTTATGAAGCCTAGTTCATTATTATTTTGTGGGTTTTGCTATTATTGTAATATCTAGGAAATCTTTGCTTAACCCAAGGTTACAAAGATTTTCTCCCATGTTTTCTTTTAAAAGTTTCATAGTTGGCCAGGCACAGTCTCGGCAGACTGAGACAGGAGAATCTCTTGAACCCAGGAGGTGGAGGTTACAGTGAGATGAGATCGCGCCACTACATTCCAGCTTGGGCGACAGAGCAAGACTCCCTCTCAAAAACAAAATTTAAAAAAAATTCAGTTTTGGATTTTACATTTAGATTGCATTCCATTTTGAGTTGATTTTTGTATGTGTTTCGAAGTATGAATTCAAGAGTTGTTGTTGCTGTTGTTTTGAGTATGGATATTCAGTTGTTCCAACACTATTTGTTAGCAATGACTTTGTAAAAACTCATGGGTTTGTGTAGATACTGTCCTGTTTCATTGATCTTTTTGTCTATGCTGATGGCAGTGCCACACTCGTTTTATTACTGTAGGGTTTTTGTTTGTTTGTTTGTTTTTAGATAGCATATCGCTCTGTTTGCCCAGAGTGGAGGGAGTGCAGCAGTGCGATCTTGGCTCACTGCAACCTCCACCTCCCAGGTTCAAGCGATTCTCCTGCCTCAGCCTCCCGAATAGCTGGGATTATAGGCACGTGCCACCATAACTAGCTAATTTTTGTATTTTTTAGTAGAAATGGGGTTTCACTGTGTTGGCCAGGCTGGTCTCAAATTCCTGACCTCAAGTGATCTGCCTGCCTCAGCCTCCCAAAGTGCTGGAATTACAGACGTGAGCCACTGTGCCTGGCCTACTGTAGGTTTTTAAAGTCTTGAAATATGGTAGAGTTAGCCCTTTGGCTTTATACTTCTCTTTCAGTGTTGTCTGGCTATGGTAAGGGTTTTGCATTTCCATATGAATTTTGACATCAGCTTGTCAATTTACACACACACACACACAAACACAGCCTGCTGGGATTACATTGATTGTATAGACCAATTTGGGAAGAATTTACATCTTAACAATATTTAGTCTTTTGACTCATGAACATGGCATATAATGGCGTTTATTTTGGTCGTCTTTAATTTCTCTCAGCAGTAGTTTTTAGTTTTTGGTGTATGTCTCACCTCTGTTGTCAATTTATTCCTAAGTATTTCAATGCTATATTGTAAATGGGGTGGTTTTTAAAATTTCAATTTCCATTTGTTTATTGCTAGTATATAGAAATACAGTCATGTGCTGCATAATGATGTTTCAGTCAACAACAGACCTCATATAGGACAGTGGTCTTATAAGATTATAATGGAACTGAAAAATTCCTGTCATGTAGTGACATTGTAATATAGTAAGCGCAACACGTTACTCACATGTTTGCAGTGATGCTGGTGTAAACAAACCTACCATACTGCCAGTTGTATAAAACTATAGCAAATCCAGTTATGTGTAGTACATAATACCTGATAATGACTCTGTTACTGGTTTATGTATTTACTACACTATTTATTGTTGTTTTAGAATACACTGCTTCTACTTATAAACAAAAATTTTGTAAAACAGCCTCAGGCAGGTGCCTTCCTCCTGAGGCAGGTCCTCAGGAGGTATCCCAGAAGAAGGGATTGTTATAAGAGATGGCAGTTCCGTGTGTGTTATTGCCCTGAAGACTTTCTAGTGGGACAAGATGTGGAGGTGAAGGACAGTCATATTGATGATCTTGACTCTGTGTAGGCCTATGCTAATGTGTGTGTTGTGTCTTAGTTTTAATAAAGTTTTTTTAAAAGATAAAGATAGGCCAGGCATAATGACTCACACCTATAAATCCAGTGGTTTGGGAGGCCAAGATGGGAGGATTGCTTGAGGCCAGGAGTTTGAGACCAGCCTGGGCAACATAGTGAGACCCCCATCTCTGTAAAAAAAAAATTAGCTGGGTGTGGTGAAGTTACAATAAGCTAAGTTTATTTTATTATTGAAGATATTTTAAAAATAAATTGAGTAGTCTAAATTTACGGTGTTTATGAAGTCTACAGTAGTGTACAATAATGTCCTAGGCCTTCACTTTCACTCGCCACTTGCTGATGCACCCAGAGCAGCTTCTGGATATACCTTTTAAAAAAATCTGTATTATAGCTTTTCTATGTTTAGATATACAAAAATTTGCCATTGTATTACAATTGACTATATTATTCAATACAGTAACATGCTGCGTAGGTTTATAGTCTAGGAGCAATAGCTATACCATACAACCTAGATGTGTAATAAGCTCTACCATCTAGGTTTGTGTAAGTAAAGTCTATGATGTTAATACAATGATGAAATCACCTAATGGTGCTTTTCTCAGAATGTATCCCCATCATTAAGCAACATTTGACTGTATAATCTGTTTTTATGTATTAAAGAGTTATCTGGAAAACTTAGTTCACTTATTCTAGTAGCTTTCTGTAGATTCCATCAAATTATGTGGAAGATCATGTTGTATGCAAATTCAAGTACTTCTTTGCCAATTTGAGTGCCTTTTATTTCTTTTTTCTTACCTGACGGCACTGGCTAGACTCTTTGGGACAATGTTACATAGGAGTGGTGATACGAGCAAACATCTTTGTCTTATACCTGGTTTTAGAGAGAATATATTCAGTCTTTCCTGTTAAGTATGATGTTTGCTGTAGGGTTTTCAACTGTAGATGCACTTTGCCAGGTTGAGGAAGTTCCTTTCTATTCCAAATTTGCGGAATATTTTTCTTTAATCAGGAATGCATGTGGGATTTTATCAGATGCTGTTTTTACATCCATTGAGATGACCAAAGGTTTTCCTGTTTTGTTACATTGATTTTTTTCGAATCATAAATCAATCTTGTATTTCTGGGATAAACCCACTTAATCGTGATGTCTTTTTATTTTAATATATTGTTGGATTCAATTTGCTAAAATTGTTTAGACTTTTTGCATGTATGTTCATGAGGGAAACTGGTCTGTAGTTTTCTTGCTAATGGCTTCTGTTTTGGTATAAAGGCAATACTAGCCTCATAGAATAAGTTGGGAAGTATTCCTTCTCTTAAACTTTTGAAAAAATTTGAGTAGAATTTATATTATTCCTTCCTTAAATGTTTGGTAGAATTTGCAAATGAAATCATCTGAACCCAGAGTTTTCTTTGTGGAAAAGTTTTTAACTCTTAATTCAACTTCTTTCATAGACATAAGACTATTCAAGTTGTCTTTTTCTTCTCGGGTGAGTTTTGGTGATGTAATTTCACCTAAGTTGTTGAATCCATAGGTGTGAAATTGTACATAGTAATCCCTTAATATCTTCTGAATATCTGTGGAATGTGGTAATGCCATCTCTCTCATTTCTAATATTGGTAATTTGTGTCTTTACTCCTTTTTTCCTAATTCATCTGGCTAGAAGTTTATCAGTTTTGTTGCGCTTCTCAAAGAACTTCCTCTGTATTTGTTTTCTGTTTCACTGGTTTCAGCTTACATCTTTATAATTTCCTTTCTTGTACTTATATTGGGTTTAATTTGTTCTTTTTCTAATTTCCTAAGGTGGTAGCTGACGTCGTTGATCTGAGACCTTTCATCCTAAATACTGCTTTCATAGCATCCCACAAATTCTCATATGTTGTATTTTCATTTTTATCCACTTTTTTCTAAATGACAGATATTTAAACCAGTGTAGCTTTACTTAAAAAGAATAATATTATGAATTTCTATTCCTATATTTATAAAAAGGGAAACTCAAAGAACTATAAGAAGTTCATTTTAAGTTCTTTTATTTAAAGAACATCTTTAGGCCGGGCGCGGTGGCTCACGCCTGTAATCCCAACACTCTGGGAGGCCGAGACGGGCGGATCACGAGGTCAGGAGATCGAGACCATCCTGGCTAACACAGTGGAACCCCGTCTCTACTAAAAATACAAAAAATTAGCCGGGCGCGGTGGTCGGCGCCTGTAGTCCCAGCTACACCGGAGGCTGAGGCAGGAGAATGGTGTGAACCCGGGAGGTGGAGCTTGCAGTGAATGGAGATCGCGCCACTGCACTCCAGCCTGGGCGACAGAGTGAGACTCCGTCTCAAAAAAAAAAAAAGAACATCTTTAAGAAAATACATGGTTGTTGGATTATAAAAGTAATACATGCCTATTACTTTAAAAGTTGACCATTCCAAAGATATGTATTTAGTAAGTGAAATTTTAATGGTTAGTTTTTGAAATAAACTTTTTGGTTTAAAATAATGACATTGTTGTTCTTTAGAAATGAAGACTGACCTGAACTTATTATTGGAGTGTCTAAAGTATCAAATGGACAATGCTTTTTCACAAAAGGAAGCTTTGGTCACTATTCATTCAATTTGTCAACAAAACAGTAAGATATAATAGTGAATTTTTATCTGTGATTCTAGTTCTTTAGTACTATGATATATCAAATAAGCATAGTTCTTTATCTTCCATTCATTTATTCTACATATCATGTTACTGTCTTCATGTGATTTATTTTATCCCTGAAAGGATATTGAAAATAAATATCATTTCTATTTTGTTTTTTTTCTGCATATCCTACAGGTAATGCAAGTGTTTATTTTCGGGAAATTGGTGGTTTGATGTTTGTAAAAAATCTTGCAAAGTCAAGTGAACATAGCATGGTAAAAGAAGCAGCCTTATATACATTAGGAGCTATTGCAGAAAAAAATGGTAAAATATAAAACTTTATTTCATTATACTTTAAGCATTGTGTTATATTTTAACAGTATACTCAAAACTAATTTTTTAGTTAATTTCTTTTCTTTTTTTTACACGTTTGAATAATTTTTATCCAGCCTCCCTCCCCTCTCCCTTGCTTCCTCTTTCCTTCCTTCCTTCCCTTTCTTTTCTTTCTTTTCTTTCTTTCCTTTCTTTTCTTCCCTTCCCTTTCCTTTCCTTTCCTTTCTTTTCTTTCCTTTCTTTTCTTTTCTTTCTTTCTTCTTTCTCTTTCTCTTTCTCTCTTTTCCCTTCCCCTCCCTCCTCTCCTTCTCCGCCCCTCCTTTCCCCTTTCTCCTTCCCCTCCCCTCCCTTTTTTCCTTCCCTTCCCTTTTCCCTGTCCTTTCCTTTCTGTTTCATCTTTCCAGATCAAAGGATGAAGATAACCCACAGCCATGTAATGTGTGGGTATAGAAATTCATGTTGGCAAAAACACTTTTCTGCAGGGCATCTAAAATGAGGTTGAATATAAACCATTGGTTTGTCAGACCAACTTTATATTCTGATATTTTTATTTATTAAATATTTCTTCATCAGCCAGGCGCATGGTGGCTCATACCTATAATCCCAGCACTTTGGGAGGCTGAGGCAGGTGGATCACTTGACCTCAGGAGTTTGAGACCAGCCTGGGCAACATGGTGATACCCCATCTCTACCAAAAATACAAATAATCAGCCAGGCATGGTAGTATGCACCTGTGGTCCCAACTACTTGGGAGGCCGAGGTGAGAGATTACTTGAGCCTGGGAGGTGGAGGTGGCAGTGAGCCAAGATTATGCCACTGTACTCTAACCTGGGCGACAGACCACAGAGTAAGACCCTGTCACCAAAAAAAAAAAAAAAAAAAAAAAAAAATCTTTTAGGAAGCAATCTTTGTGCAAGGCATTGGGGATACAGGGATAAGTAAGATATAGTCCTTGAATTTTTTTTTTTAAATTTAATGTTTGTGTCTATATAATAGGTGTATATATTTATAGGGTACATGAGATGTTTTGATACCGACATGCAGTGCGTAATCACATCGTGGAGAATGAGGTTTCCATCCACTCAAGCATTTATTCATTGTGTTACACAAACAATCCAATTATACTGTTTAGTTATTTTAAAGTGTACAGTTAAATTATTATTGACTATGGTTACTTTGTTATGCTATCAAATAGTAAGTCTTAGTCATTCTTTCTTCATTTTTTTTTTTTTTTTTTTGGTACCATACCCACCACCTTCCACTACCCTTCCCAGCCTCTGATAATCATCTATCTCCATGAGTTCAATTGTTTTGATTTTTAGATCCCACAAATAAGTGAGAATATGTTTGTCTTTCTGTGCCTGGCTTAGTCCTTGCCTTTGAGATAGGGCCTAATAGCTGGTTCTAGGAACTGGATAAAATGTTGATTGTATCTTTATGTCTATATTATTTTTGTAAAATTCTGCCTATTGCATTAGGACATACACACAAAAACTATCAGATAGTATGATTCTTGAAATGATTTTTATTTCTAGGAAAGTCTCAAAACATATCTCAAATTTTGTTTGTCCCTCTGTTTTCTAAAGCAGGTTTCTGAATTTTCTTGAATTGCTTTTCTTGCTATGTTTTGTTACGCATCCTTTAAAGTGTGTTTTTTTTTTTTTTGCTAAATTTTATTTAATTTTTTATTCAGATAAGTTTTTTATTGTAAATTCTAGGGGATTTCAGTATGTGTTTTGGAGCCTAGATTAAGTACTTTTGATTAATATACTGCTGCTTTGGTCTGCTAATTGAGTAAGCACATATCAGTTTGTCAGAAATTTTGTTGTATGACTAATAAATATCAATTACATGAGATTTGGTTAAGAACCATCCCCAGTTAGGTAATTTTTTATTTTGTTCAGCATATTTTAAAGCATGTTTGTGACAATGCATTGAAATTAAAATTATATTTTATATTTCAGTTTACTGTCAGCAGACTTTGTGTACTTCAGAGTTATTTGAAGACTTAACTTGGTTCTTATCTAATGATTCAAACATAAATTTGAAAAGAATGTCTGTTTATGTTATTTTGGTTCTGGTTTCAAATAATAGTAAGTACATTCTCTTATGAATATTTGAAAACGTTAATCAATTGGAACAGCCATTATTAATTTTTTATTTGAGTTCTTATATCTTTTTTTTTTTTTTTGGAAACAGAGTCTCGCTGTGGCACGCAGGCTGGAGTGCAGTGGCATGATCTCGGCTCACTACAACCTCCGCCACCTGGTTCAAGTGATTCTTCTGCCTCAGCCTACTGAGTAGCTGGGATTACAGGCACATGCTATCATGCCCAGCTAATTTTTGGATTTTTTAGTAGAGACAGGGGTTTCACCATGTTGGCCAGACTGGTCTCAAATAGTGCTGGGATTACAGGTGTGAGCCACTGCTCCTGGCCCAGTGTCTTTTTTTTTTTTTTTTTGAGACGGAGTCTCGCTCTGCCGCCCAGGCTGGAGTGCAGTGGCCGGATCTCAGCTCACTGCAAGCTCCGCCTCCTGGGTTAACGCCATTCTCCTGCCTCAGCCTCCCGAGTAGCTGGGACTACAGGCGCCCGCCACCTCGCCCGGCTAGTTTTTTGTATTTTTAGTAGAGACGGGGTTTCACCGTGTTAGCCAGGATGGTCTGGATCTCCTGACCTCGTGATCCACCCGTCTCGGCCTCCCAAAGTGCTGGGATTACAGGCTTGAGCCACCGCGCCCGGCCCCAGTGTCCTTTTTTAACCTCACCTCTGAGAAATACTAGTTTAAAGAAAGGTGGATTATTAGCATGTATTTAATAATTCAATACTTATTAATTTTAAGAAATAATAAAGTAGGCCGGGCGCGGTGGCTCAAGCCTGTAATCCCAGCACTTTGGGAGGCCGAGGCGGGCGGATCACAAGGTCAGGAGATCGAGACCACAGTGAAACCCCGTCTCTACTAAAAATACAAAAAATTAGCCGGGCGCGGTGGCGGGCGCCTGTAGTCCCAGCTACTCAGGAGGCTGAGGCAGGAGAATGGCGGGAACCCGGGAGGCGGAGCTTGCAGTGAGCCGAGATCGCGCCACTGCACTCCAGCCTGGGCAACAGCGTGAGACTCCGTCTCAAAAAAAAAAAAAAAAAAAAAAAAAAAAAAAAAAGAAATAATAAAGTAATTTATAGTGCTTAGCATTGAAAGGTAACAGGTTTAAAGAGAAAAAGAGAGGCATTTAATGAATTAGTTTTGTTGATTTTCTGCTGAATTGACCGTTTAGTTACAGTGTTTACAGTATAAACCAGTGATGGTTTTTATTTTGGAATAATTTTAGATTTACAGAAAAGTTGCAAAGATAATATGTTCCCGTATACTTACTGCTCAGTTATTTTTTAACTTTTTAAAATTTTAATTCTTCAAATTGTTAGAAATTCTGTAAGCATTTAAAATGTTTCTAGGCCAGGTGTGGTAGATCATCCCTGTAATCCCAGCATTTTGGGAGGCCAAGGTGGGAGGATACCTTAAGCCCAGGAGTTTGAAACCAGCCTGGGTAACACAGTGAGACCTTGTCTCTACAAAGAAATTAAAAAAGAAAAGAAAAAGAAAAATTAACTGGGTGTGGTGGCGCACACCTGTACTACCAGCTACTTGGGAGGCTAAGGTGGGAGAATTGAGTGAGCTCTGGAGGTTGAGGCTACAGTGAGCTGTGATCAAGCCACTGCACTCCAACCTGAGTGACAGAGTGAGACCCTGTCTCAAAAAAAAGAAATGCTTCTAGGTAGGCACGGTGGGTCACATCTGTAACCCCAGCACTTGGGGAGGCCAAGGCGGTGTAGCCCCTTTCCTATGTCACCCAGGTCCCAGCACAACAACCATATTCAGTACCAGCAGACTCTCTCATGCCACCTTTCCTGCTAGAGGGGAAATGGTATGGGCATCAATAGAGGGGGACGTCTAGGTGGTTGTAGAGCTCAAGGCCCAAACCCCCAGTGTGTTGGGTGGGGGTGGGGCAGCCTCAGGGAAGCTAGGCATCAGGTTGTATCCTTTGAAGCGGAGGAGTCAAGCCTTACCTTCTTCTGCTAGCAGTGGCTGGTCCCTCACCCCTCTAGTCCTCTGCTGTTATTGTTTCCATGGGGAGGGTCACAGACCCAGGCACAATGCTAGTCTGAGCAGGCTCAGGCAATTCAGCTAAGCCTCTTGCCAGAGAGGCCTGAGGAGTCGCTTCTTGCCAGGTGTGCACTTTAAAAAAAATGTTTCTAGATTTTGTTTTATTTTGGAAAAACTAGAAAACGTTGAATTTATTTATTTTTCCATTTTGGAACTTATCTTGATACTGTAACACAGAACCATGATGCAAAGTAAGAGTTTTGTAATTTTTAGAGGAAATTTGAATGCAATTAGTCTCTAAGCAGTAGTGACATATTTTTCATAATAATCTTGATTACAGATTTTTATCCACAGTAATTCTATGTTATACTTTGTAATACTTTAAAGTTGTTTAAAAGTTATTTATTTATTAAAATAAAACTTAACTGTTATTCATTTCTGCAAGACTATTTGTAAATAAAACTCATATTTTTATATGGCTATTTTTTTAAGGGACTGGACAAACACTTGTGAGAGAAACAGGTTGTATTACAGTTCTGTCACGGTTATTCAGGTAAACAAATACAAATTTCTTTTTGTTAATTATTAATTACTTAGGACCTTAACACATTTGTATTAATTTACTTTCTTTTCTTTTTAACCTAATAGGACAGTTATTTCAAAATATGAGTTGGATTTGTCAGATAAAAATGTTTTCCAGAGTTATCAGTTGTGGTCTTCAGTGTGTAGTACTCTGTGTGTCTGTGTCAACAATCCTCAAAATGGTAACTATCTGTAATGTTTAAATATAAAAATAAAGATAAAAACAAATGAAAACTGATGTTTTCCAATTGTCATATTAAATCATGATTGACTTTGTCTTCTTTCAGATGAGAATCAAATGTTTTGCTGTTCACTTTTTCCACATGCTAATGAATGGCTAAAAAATTTCATGAAACCTGAGATAATTCGCCCTATTTGCTCATTTATTGGACTCACTCTTGCAAATAACAGTAAGTATTCATTATTTTCTAGGTCATAGTTGAAGAAACATTTCAAAGCATTATAAAAACTATTGAATTTATTATTGAATCAATTGAGTTCTTGTAATTTGGGTTATTTTGGATGTATTTAGACTCTTAAAGATAAGAAAATCTTAAAAGTGGATATTTTTAGGAGGATATTGGGAAGATGGTCATAGCAGCATCATTTTTTAAATCTCCCCAGATACTCTCATAAAACGGAAAAACCAAATAGCAAGACTAAATACCCATAGAGTGTGTTCTCTGATCACAAGGTAATTAAATTAGAAATGAATAAAAACAAAACATCTAGAAAAGCCCCAAATATCTGGTAATTAAACAACTTGTACTAAAATCCATGAGTCAATGTATAAATCATAAGGAAAATTATAAAATGTTTCTAACTGAATAATAATGAAAATACAACATTAGGCCGGCCATGGTGGCTCACGCCTGTAATCCCAGCACTTTGGAAGGCTGAGGCAGGCAGATCACTTGAGGTCAGGAGTTCGAGACCAGCCTGACCAACATGGTGAAACCCTATCTCTACTAAAAATACAGAAATTAGCTGGGCATGGTGGCAACAATTAGCTGGGCTGGTGGCAGACACCTATAATCCAAGCTGCTTGGGAGGCTGAGGCAGGAGAATCGCGTGAGCCCAGGAGACGGAAGTTGCAGTGAGCCACAATCGCACCATTGCACTCCATCCTGGGCAACAGCAGAATGATACTCTGGCTCAAAAAAAAAAAAAAAAAAAGCCAGATGCAGTGGCTCACACCTGTAATCCCAGCACTTTGGGAGGCCGAGGCGGGTGGATCACTTGAGGTCAGGAGTTTGAGACCACATGTTGGTCTGACCAACATGTGAAACCTTGTCTCCACTGAAAATACAAAAATTAGATGGGTGCCTGTAATCCCAGCTACTCAGGAGGCGGAGGCAGGAGAATCTCTTGAACCTAGGAGGTAGAGATTGCAGTGAGGTGAGATCACGCCACTGCACTCCAGCCTGGGTGACAGAGTGAGACTCCATCTCAAAAAAAAAAAAAAATTAAAAGAAATCTGTGTGATGCTGCAAAACAGTGTTGAGAGGGAAATTTATAGTATTAAGGCTTGTATAAGAAAAGAAAGGTCTCAAGTCAATTATACTAGCTTCTGACTGGGTGTGGTGGCTCACACCTGTAATCCCAGCACTTTGGGAGTCTGAGGTGGGGGAATCACTTGAGGTCAGGAGTTCCAGACCAGCCTGGCCAACATGATGAAACTTTGTCTCTACTAAAAATACAAAAAAATTAGCCCGGTGTGGTGGTGTGCACATGTAATCCCGGCTACTCGGGTGGCTGAGGCAGGAGAATCGCTTGAACTTGGGAGGCAGAGGTTGCAGTGAGCCAAGATCATACCACTGCACTCCAGACTGAGCAACAGAGAGAGATTCTGTCTCAAAAATAAATAAATAAATAAATAAATAATCGTATTAGCTTCTACCTAAGAAATTAGCAAACCAAGCAAGTTAAAATAAGCATAACAAAGGAAATAATGAGAAGATTAGAAATCGTGAAATAGAGAAAAGCACAGAATGGAGAAAAATAATTGAAACATGAGCTAATTCTTTGAAAAGATCAATAACAGTGATCCTCTAGCCAGACTGATTACAAAGTAACGAGAGAAAGCTCAGATTACCTGTGCCAGGAGTGATAACTTCACTATAGATCTTAATAGATATTAAGAGTAATGAAAGAATAGTAGAAACAGCTTTATGTCATGACATTTTACAACTTAGATGAGTTGGACAAACTCTTTGAAAGATACAAACTACCAAACAAAGCTCACCCAAGAAGAACTAGTAACCTGAATACTCCTATATCTGTTAAAGAAGTCAAATTTGTAGTTTAAAAGCTTAACACAAGCCTGGGCATGGTTGCGCATGCGTGTAGTCCCAGCTGTTGGGAGACTGAGGTGGGAGGATCACTTGAGCCTGGAAGTTCAAGGGTATAGTCTGCTATTATCATACCTGAGAATAGTCACTGCAGCCTGGGCAACATAGCAAGGACCCACCTCTTAAAAAACAACAAACAAACAAACAAACAAACAAAAAACAATGCAAAGACGCAAAACAAAACCTTAGCTTAGGAAATTCCAGGCCTTAATGGTTTCATTGGCGAATTCTGCCAAACATTTCAGGAAACAAACCAATAATTTCACATAAATTATTCCAGGAAATAGAAGTGGGATAAACACTTCCCAACGTGTAAGGCCAGCATTACACCGACGTCAGAACCCAGAAACAACATTACGAGAAACTGTTGGCTAATAGCTCTAGAACATAGATGTAAAAATCCTTAAAAAAAAATTAACAAATCTAATTTAGCATTAGAAAATATTAACAAATCTAATTCAGCATATGGAAAAGAATACATTATGACCAAGTGGCATGTATCCCAGGAATGCAAGATAGGTTTAACATTAGAAAATTCATCATATGTACAGTCTAGAAAAGAAGAACAATATGATAATTTCAATAGATGCAGGAAAAGCATTTGACATAATTCAACATACATCTGTAAACTCATGGTAAACTAGGAACAGAAGGAAACTTCCTTAATGTGACAGGACCTCTACAAAATACTACAAGTAGCACACTTAATGGCGAAAGACTTAATGTTTTCCCCTTGAGACTGGAAAAAAGATAAGAGGCTAGGTGTAGTGACTCATGCCTATAATCCAGCACTTTGGGAGGCCGAGGCAGGAGGACCACTTGAATCTAGGAGTTCAAGACCAGCCTGGGCAACATAGAAAGACCCTGTAGCTACAAAAATTTAAAAACTAGCCAGGTGTAATGATTCACACCTATAGTCTCAGCTACTTGAGAGGATTGCTTGAGCCTGGGAGGTCAAGGCTGCAGTGAGTTATGATTCTGCTATTGCACTCCAGCCTGGGCAACAGGGAGATCCTGTAACACACACACACACACACACACACACACACACACACAACAGAAATTAAAAGAAAATAAATTGATGATATATATAATACTCTGGATTATAAGACTCAACATTGTAAGAATGTCACTTTCAAATTCATCTCTAGATTCATGGAATTCTCAAGCAAAATCCCAGCAGATATTTCTGATTCTAACTTACATGGAATACAAAGGGCCTAGGATAATTGAAACTTTTGGGGAAAAAAGGATAAAACCGTAGGACTATGTTGCCTGATTTTAGTACTTATACAGAAATCAAGAAAGCGTGGCATTGGTGTAGGTATAGACTTACAGATTCTTTTTTTTTTTTTTTTTTTGGTGACAGAATTTCACTCTTGTTGCCCAGGCTGGAGTGCAATGGTATGGTCTCGACTCAGTGCAACGTCCACCTCCCGGTTTCAAGTAATTCTTCTGTCTCAGCCTCCCGAGTAGTTGGGATTACAAGCACCCGCCACCATGCCTGGATAATTTTTGTATTTTTAGTAGAGATGGGGTTTCACCATGTTGGCCAGGCTGGTCTTGAACTCCTGATCTCAGGTGATCCTCCCACCTTGGCCTCCCAAAGTGCTGGGATTACAGACATGAGCCACCACACCCGGCCTTGTAGACTTACCTATTAAGGAAATAAAAGTGAGAGCCCAGAAATAGACTCATACATATATCATTGTTGATTGTCTACAAAGATGCCATTGTCATTCTGTGGAGGAAAAGATATTTTCAACAAATAATGCTAGAAAAAGTGGATATCTATATGCAAAATATGAATCCAAACCTTTATACAGTATACAAAAACTAACTTGAAATAGTTCATAGACTTAAATGTAAACAGTGAAAAATATAAAACGTGGACAAAAGCAGAAAATTCTCACAACTTGGGGGTAGGCAAAGGTTTCTAAGGACACAAAAAGCATGAATAACTAAAGAAAAAATAGTAAATTGGACTTAATTGAAATAATTTTGCTCTTCAGAAGAGCTTGCTATGAGGATGAAAGGTAAGCTAGACCGAGAGAAAATATTTGAGAACTATTTATCTAATTAAGAATTTGTACCCAGAAACCTGTAAATAGCTCTTATAAATCGATAAGAAGACAAAAGCAACCTGATGATTAAAAAAGTGGGCAAAAGATTTGAACAGATACTTTAGCAAAGAAGATGTGAATATTAAATAAGCACTTGAAAAGATGTTTAAGATTGGCTGGGCATGGTGGCTTATACCTGTAATCCCAGCACTTTGGAAGGCCAAGGAGGGAGAATCGCTTGAGCCCTGGAGTTTGAGACCAGGCTGGGCAATGTAGTGAGATCTTGTCTCTACAAAAACATTTTAAAAATTAGCCAAATATGGTGGCATGCACCTATAGTCCTAGTTACTCAGGAAGCTGAGGTGGGAGAATCACTTGAGTCCAGGAGTTCAAGCTTACAGTAAGCTATGATCACACCACTGCACTCCAGCTTGGGTGACAGAGCCAGAGCAAGACTCTGTCTCAGGGAAAAAAAAATGCTCAAGAAATAATTAGTTACCAGAGAAATCCAAATTAAAATCCCAAAGAGATATTACTACACACCAACTAGCATGTTAAAAATAAAAAGTGATCATGCTAAATATTGGCAAAGGATGTGGAACAACTAGAACTTTCACACATTGCTAACGTATATCTATAGTCAAGTGTTTGAAACAAATACTCGTGTCACATGCAAAGGATATATCTCTAGAATTACAGAAAAAATTGGAATCTATTTCCATGATACCCTGACAGTCCCTTTATCTCTAAAAGCCAGCTTTAGTGAGTGATAGTTATAGGACTTCATTACCTTCAGTGAACTACAGATTAGAGAAAATCTAAAATATTCAGTATACAATAAATGTGGTCTAGGATGTTCTTCTGCTTATATGCCTGAGTTTTTGTCACTTAGGCTATAACTAAGAATCTGTGGTAACACACTGCCATTTTCATCTAAGCATTAACAATGCCTTTTTTTTTTTTTTTTGAGCTAGAGTCTTATTCACTCTGTCACCCCGGCTAGAGTACAGTGGCACAATCATGGGTCACTGCAGCCTCAAACCTCTGGGCCTAAGCGATCCCCCTGCCTTAGCCTCCTGAGGTGCTGGGACTACACGCACACACCACTGAGCCTGGCTAATTTTTACTTTGGTTTTTTTTTTTTAGAGATGGGGTCTCACTATGTTGCCCAGGCTGATAATGAACTTCTGAATTCAAGCAATCCTCCTGCCTCAGCCTCTCAAAAATGCTAGGATTACAGACATGAGCTACTACCACATGCAGCCTCTTTTTTGAAGATTTTTAAAAAGTGAAAATACTTCCTAGTAAAGAAGTCTATTTTGGAGCCACCATAATATTGAAAGTGTTTGCCTGCCCTTAAATAACGTTTCTGGGCTGGGCGCCATGGCTCACGCCTGTAATCCTAACAGTTTGGGAGGCCGAGGCAGGCAGGTTGCTTTAGTTCAGGAGTTCGAAACCAACCTGGGGAACATGGTGAAACTGCGTCTCTACCAAAAGTACAAAAATTACCTGGACATGGTGGTGCACGCCTGTAGTCATTAAAGGCATAAGCCACCATGCCCAGCCCAGAATTATTTTCAACTAGGAAACAAAAGACTTCAGATTTAGAAAAATAGATACTGGTCATTGAATCTTTGCTTGGAATAGTTGTTATGACTCTCAGGGATGTGTTATAATTTTATGCTCCAAGAAGTAAAAGAATTAGGTGTAAATATGACAGATGAGATGTATGCTGTTTTAAAACAGTTAAATTACTTTGCATCTTGAGGAGTCAAACAATCTGAGAAATTAGTTATGTTGGATTGCAGAAAATAGGCAGCTTGCTAATTACCAAGATAAATGAATGAATATATTCTTTATAACTCTATTGAAATACTTGTTTAATATTGTTGAGGGATAGGTTTCTTTTTGGTTTTTTGTTTTGTTTTGTTTTTGTTTGTGTTTTGAGACAGAGTCTCGCTCAGTAGTGTTAGCTCAGCTCATTGCAACCTCTGCCTCCCGGGTTCAAGTGGTCCTCCTGCCTCAGCCACCTGAGTAGCTGGGATTATAGGCATGTACCACCACGACCAGCTTAATTTTTAATTTTCTTTTTCTTTTTTTTTTTTTTTTTTTTTGAGATGGAGTTTCGCTCTGTCACCCAGGCTGGAGTGCTGTGGCACAATCCTGGCTCACTGCAAGCTCCGCCTCCTGGGGTCACGCCATTCTCCTGCCTCAGCCTCCCGAGTAGCTGGGACTACAGGCGCCGACCACCACGCCCAGCTAATTTTTTGTATTTTTAGTAGAGACGGGGTTTCACTGTGTTAGCCAGGATGGTCTCGATTTCCTGACCTTGTGATCTGCCCATCTCGGCCTCCCAAAGTGCTGGGGTTACAGGCATGAGCCACCGCACCCTGCCTATTTTTTAAGTTTTTAGTAGAGATGGAGTTTCAGCATGTTGGCCAGGCTGGTCTTGAACTCCTGACTCAAGCAGTCCTCCTATCTCGGCCTCCCAAAGTGCTGGGATTACAGGCGTGAGCCACCATGCTCGGCCCAGAGGGCAGCTTAATAATGCCATTCTTACAAAATAGAGCAGTTCTTACTACATGAAACAAAAAAGATTTCTAATACACAAGAAATACTGTACTATACATATAGTTTTACTATGTCAAAGTAAGGTACTTACGTAAATAAATAATCTATTTTATGATTATGTATATGCACAGGTATAGATTGGATTTTTAATTCTTTAATTTTGGGATTTTTAGAAAGTATTTGAAAAGACCAAGTTAGTGTTATATTTAGTGCAAATTAATTGAGTAAAACCATTCAGCTGTCTTGTTTGAAATATTAATAGTTTTGCTACTTTATTCTTTAAGCATATGTTCAGAAATACTTCGTATCTGTGGGTGGACTGGATGTATTGTCTCAAGTTCTCGTGCAACTGGAATCTGATTCACATGAGACTCTTTCCAGTGCTAAACTTGCAGTGGTTGTGACAAAGACTGTGGATGCATGCATTGCTGATAATCGTGAGTGACAGTGCTTACTAGTTTTTTTGAAATTGAATTTTCTTTGAATATAGCATGAAGAATGTTGAAATAGTAGATTGAACAGTAACATGGTTTAGACTAACAGTTTCTCACAAGTGGAAGGGAATATTAGAAATTATCCAACATGGCCAGGCGCAGTGGCTCATGCCTGTAATCCCAGCACTTTGGGAGGCTGAGGCAGGCAGATGGCTTGAGGTCGGGAGTTCAAGACCAGTGTGGCCAACATGGTGAACCCTCGTCTCTACTAAAAATACAAAAATTAGCCGAATGTGGTGGTGGGTGCCTGTAATTCCGGTTACTTAGGAAGCTGAGGCAAGAGAATCACTTGAACCCAGGAGGTGGAGGTTGCAGTGAGGGAGCTGAGATCATGCCACTGCACTCCAGCCTGGGCGACAAGTGCAAAACTCTGTCTGGAAAAAAAAGGCAACATTAAATTAAAAATTTCAGGCTGTGTATGGTGGCTCACACCTGTAATCCCAGCACTTTGGGAGGCCAAGATGGGAGGATTGCTTGAAGCCAGGAGTTTGAGACCAGCTTGGTCAACATAGCAAGACTCCATCTCTCAAAAAAAAAAAAAATAATAGTAATAATAATATTCAGATGAGAAACCAAGGGATATTTTTGAGATTAAGGAATGGAAAACCCAATTTATGTAAAGAATACATCTCTTTCTGCTAAGTATGAGGTTGGACTTACCCAACACAGCATTACTAGTGAGTGGCAGAACCATACTTGAACTCATGGCTGCTGCTTCTCACATGTGCAAACACTGAAGAGTAAGAAACTCTATTGGTATTCACAAACAACTAGGGGGCAAAAAATAGATGGTTTTTTAAAAAGTGGTTATTGAGGGCCTGCTATGTGCTGAGCTTTACAAGTACAAAAATGACTAAGATGTAGTCCCTTGAGGAATTCACAACTTTTTTGTTGATATTAATATTGTTAGACTCTGGGTGAATTCTGTTGAAAGCCACACTTGGAGAAATATAGCTTAAAATGGTGGACTTTTTTTTTTTTTTTTTTTTTTTTTTTGAGACGGAGTCTCACTCTGTTGCCCAGGCTGGAGTGCAGTGGTGTGATCTTGGCTCACTGCAAGCTCTGCCTCCTGGGTTTAAGCGATTCTCCTGCCTCAGCCTCCTGAGTAGCTGGTACTACAGGTGCCCACCACCACGCCCGGCTAATTTTTTGTGTGTGTTTTTAGTAGAGACAGGGTTTCACCGTGTTAGCCAGGATGGTCTCCATCTCCTGACCTCGTGATCCACCTGCCTCGGCCTCCCAAAGTGCAGGGATTGCAGGCGTGAGCCACCGCGCCTGGCCAAAAAATGGAGGACTTTTTGACTTTTGTCAGTCTCAGCATAGCTTCGCATAAGCTTCATTGTAAGCAAAACTGTGGTCAGTTAATAGTGTATTTTAAATGACAGCAGGAACTGATTATGTAGGAAAGTCTTTACTATCCAATCTAGATAAGAGGTAGGTAAGGGGAGAGTAAGCATACTCAGCCTTTAGGAAGTTAGTGGTACTTCATCTTCACAGCATTCTGCAGAACAATTAAGAAAAAAAATTCTTCGAAAAATTTGCTTTAGTAATATGTCTTTAGTATGGGAAGAAAGAGTAATGAGGGTTATAGTAATAAGCAACCATCTTATTACAATGAATTTATTTATATTTTATTTATATTCACACATACACATATTTATTAGATGTTATATGTGTATATTTAATGTTATATAGATATATAACATTCTATCTGAATAAGCTGAAAAATGTATATATACATTTATAAGTTTTAAATTTGTACTATCTTTTTTTCCTATTTTATACTAATAGCTACTTTTGGGATAGTACTCTCCAAGTACCACATTGTTTCAAAACTTCTGGCATTACTGCTTCATGAAAGTCTGGATTCAGGAGAAAAATTTAGCATCATGCTTACTCTTGGTCATTGCACAGAGGATTGTGGTAAGTATTGGATTTATTGTGTGTGGTTATTAAAATAGTAGAGTGGAAATATACTTTTTTTTTTTCCTTCCAGTCATGTGAAGGTCTTAAAAGTATTGCTTTTCTCCTAGTTATTCAGACCTCAAACTAATCATTTCAGCTTCTAATTCTCCTTCACTCATTGTATTAAGTCAGTCATTAAGACCTGTAGTTCTACTTCTGTTTACCCCTCTTGATCCCTTTCTGTCCAGTTCCAATGCTGCTCTTCTACAGTAGGCCCTCAAACCCATATCTTTCATCAATATTATTGCAGTGGTTTTCTCACTACAGCACAGGGAGAAAGCTCCTTCCCTTCTATCTTCATTTTTCAGTCCACTCTGCACATTGCTGCACAAATCTGATTATGTTCTCCTTGTTAAAACTTTCAAAGATTCTTTCTTTTTCTACCTATTACTGTCTTCTCTCTCTTTTTCTTCTCCCCCTTTTACTTTCCTCCTCCTCTACTTTCCTCCCATTCTCCCTCTGTTCAATCTACTCCTTCTTACCAATTCTCTCCACTTCCCTCTCTACCCCCTCTCTTCTTCTGATCTCGTGTCTCTGCTCTTTCAGCTCTCACTTTTCCACTCTCCTCCCTTTGCTCTCTCTTGCTTCTCCCATTCTTTCTTCCTTCCCCTACACTTTCTACTCCCTCCGTTAGTTTATCTATTCTTTCCCTTAACTTCTGTGTAATTTAGGATTGATTATACCCTTTTTCAAACCAAGTGAGGGCAGTTTTACCCTTATGAGTTATGATACTACTCTGTGGCTGCATTTCAGAGATCACTTATGAGACAGGTATTTTGTGTAAGTGAATTTTTTTTTTTTTTTTTTGAGACGGAGTTTTGCTCTTGTTGCCCAGATTGGAGTGCAATGGCACAATCTTGGCTCACTGCAACCTCCGCCTCCCAGGTTCAAGCAATTCTCCTGTCTCAGCCTCCCAAGTAGCTGGGATTACGGGCATGCACCACCACGCCTGGCTAATTTTGTATTTTTGGTAGAGATGAGGTTTCTCCATGTTGGTCAGGCTGGTCTCGAACTCCCGACCTCAGGTCATCTGCCCGCCTTGGCCTCCCAAAGTTCTGGGATTACAGGCATGAGCCACTGAGCCCGGCCTTAAGTGAATTATTTTCTATATTAAAAATCCTTTTGGGGGCTAGATGTGGTGGCTCACGCCTGTAATTCCAGCACTTTGGGAGGCTGACATAGGCAGATCACGAGGTCAGGAGTTCGAGACCAGCTTGGCGAGCATGTTGAAACCCTGTCTCTACTAAAAATACAAAAAATTAGATGGGCACGGTGGTGCGCACCTGTAGTCCCAGCTACTCGGGAGGCTGAGGCAAGAGAATTGCTTGAACCCGGCAGGCGGAGGTTGCAGTGAGCCGAGATCACGCCACTGCACTCCAATCAGAGTGACAGAGCGAGACTCCCTCTCAAAAAAAAAAAAAAAATTCCTTTTGAAACTATGTGTTTCTCTATTTTAAAAATTTGTTGTTGTCGTTGTATTTTTGTTTTTTGAGACAAAGTCTCACTCTGTTGCCCAGACTGGAATGCAATGGCTGGACCTTGGCTCACTGCAGCCTCCACCTCCCAGGTTCAACTCAATTTCCTGAGAAGTTGGGATTACAAGTGCCTGCCACCATGCCTGGCTAATTTTTTTGCATTTTTTGTAGAGACCGGGTTTTGCCATGTTGGCTAGGCTGGTCTTGGACTCCTAACCTCAAGTGATCCACCCATCTCAGCCTCCCAAAGTGCTGGGATTACAAGAGTGAGCCACCGTTCCTGGCCTATTTTTAAAATTTTGAACTATGTTCATAATTATCACAAGGAAGAATTATGACCTCATATAGATAGTTTATGATAAAATCATTGTCCTCTTTAACTGTGTGTTTTCCAGAGGAAAATCAGTATGACCTTTTTAAAAACAATGGGCTTCCACTCATGATTCAAGCCTTAACTGAATCTCAGAATGAGGAACTGAACAAAGCTGCCACATTTGTGCTTCACAACTGCAAAAAAATTAGTAAGTGTACTATTACTTTAAGAACATACCAACCAAAGTTTATAAAGGGGAATTTATATCTGCTTTCATGAGCCAAGGCCTTTTAGCTCTCAGTTTCTTCTTACATTTGAAAAGCAGAGTAGGCCCTGCACAGTGGCTCATGCCTGTAATCCCAGCACTTTGGGAGGCCAAGGCAGGCAGATCGCTTGAGTCCAGGAGTTCAAGACCAGCCTGGGCAACATGGAGAAACTCTGTCTCTATTTAAAAAAAAAAAAAAAAGAAAGAAAGAAAAAATTATCTGGCCTGGTGGCACACGCCTGCCAGCTACTTGGGAAGCTGAGGTAGAAGGATCATCTGAGCTCAGGAAGTGCTCAGGTTGAGGCTACAGTGAGCTGTGTTTGCACCACTGCCCTCCACCCTGGCTCATATAGTAAGACCCTGTCTCAAAAAAAAGTCAGAGTGTATAATTTGGACATGACAACTAGGGTATATTCAGCATATACAAACCCATGTGGAAGAGAGCAGCAGTATAGATAATTCACTATTTTATGCCATGTGCACAAATTTAGTTTGCAGGAATTAAATTTGTGGACTAAGGGTTATTTATTGTTAAATCGTAAGTACATTTATTTATTTTTAAATGTCTGGGCTGGGCGCAGTGGCTCACGCCTGTAATCCCAGCACTTTCAGAGGCCTAGGCAGGCGGATCATGAGGTCAGGAGTTCGAGACCAGCCGGGCCAACATGGTGAAACCCCATCTCTACTAAAAATACAAAAAAAATTAGCCAGGCATGGTGGCGCACACCTGTAGCCCCAGCTACACGGGAGGCTGAGGCAGAAGAATTACTTGAACCCCGGAGGCAGAGGTTGCAGCAAGCCGAGATCATGCCACTGCACTCCAGCCTAGGCGACAGAACAAAACTCCGTCTCAAAAAAAAAAAAAAGTTTGAGTTTCTGTTATGTGCCGGGCAGTGTGCTAGGCATCAGGGACATCAGGGATACAGTGATAAAAAAACAGTCTGTGTATTCACAGAGCTTAGTTTAACTAGAGAAACAGACAGTAACTCAAAAAATGAGATTATGTGTTATTATAAATTGACATAAGAAGTATAAGGGGATAGACCACAGGTCTTTAATAGCCTATAACAAAGAAATCTGGTCTAGACGTGGAGCAGAAAAGGCTTTGGGAGGAAGTGATTCTTGAGCTGAGAACTGAATGTCTAGGGTTAATTAGGTGAAAAGAAAGGAATTTGTTATCAGCGAGCATCTCAGGCATAAGCAACAGTGAGGCACAAAGGCCCTGTGATAGGAGGGAACCTGGTGCACTTAAGGAATTGATGGCCAGTGTAGCTTGAGCTCAGAGGGCAGTGGCCATGATAAGAATTTTGATCTTTGTGGAAGAAAAACTGCAGACACAGTATGTTAAAAAAAAAAAAAAAAGATTATAGGAAGGAATCAATTTATGAACATTGTTTTTTTAAAAAACTACTTTATTTTTGAGACAAAGTCTCAGTTTGTCACCGGGGCTAGAGTGCAGTGGTGCAATCTCTGTTCACTGCAGCCTCTGCCTCCTGGGTTTGAGGGAGTCTTGTGCCTCACCCTCCGGAGTATCTGGTATCTGGTATTACAGGTGCGTGCCACGATGCCTGGCTAATTTTTTTTTTTTTTTTTTTTAGAAGAGGCGGAGTTTCACCATATTGGCCAGGCTGGCCTTGAGTTCCTGACCTCAAGTGATCCTCCCGCCTCGGCGTCCCAAAGTGCTAGGATTACAAGTGTGAGCCACTGTGCCCGGCCTAAAAAGCTAACTACTTTAAAACCAGTATGCATGTACCTGAGAGCGTTTATGTGCCTGGCATAACATATTTGCATGTTTTTTTCTCCTGTAACTCTGAAGAGTAAAGTCTAATTTATGACTGTTCTCTTCCACTTACTTTTCAGTACTAATTAAGCTGTTAAGATAGTCTGGATGGAAAAATTTAGAGAAAGGAGAGGGTGGGGTGTGAGTTGTCCTTACATATAAAGTGTTTAAATAACCTTTCATTCATTGTGTTTTTCCCATATTACAAAGCTGAGAAATTATCTCTAAGTCTAGGAGAATATCCTTTTGATGAAAATGAAACACAGCAATTAAAGGACATAAATGGGAAAGAGAAGAATCTTGAAGAGCACTGGAGGAAAGCAAAGGAAATTCTACACAGAATAGAGCAGCTTGAAAGAGAAGGAAATGAGGTTGGATTCTTTGTTTTAAAGAATATATAGAACTTTTTTCACATTTTTAAAATGTCTTTTTTTTCTCCATACTACAGTGACATATACATTTAAAAAAATTTTTTTTTGAGACAGAGTCTTGCTCTGTTGCCCAGGCTGGAGTGCAGTGACGCGATCTTGGCTCACTGCAACCTCCGCCTCCCAAGTTCAAGTGATTCTCATGCCTCAGCCTTTCAAGTAGATGTGCGCCACCACACTTGGCTAATTTCTTTGTATTTTTAGTAGAGACAGGGTTTCCTCATGTTGGCCAGGCTGGTCTTGAACTCCTGACCTCAAGTGATCTGCCTGCCTTAGTCTCCCAAAATGTTGGGAATACAGGTGTGAGCCACCATGCCCAGCTGATATTTTTTAACAATAGAGATTGGAGGGGTGAAAAATTTTTTCTTCCCAAGTTGTTTTTTAAAGGTTTAAATAGAAAACTCCATAGTAATACTTGAAGAATCATGCTTTGACATAAAACAAAAAAAAGATTTTTAAAAAGTAGAAATGATGACTGAAAAGACAGGAAACATGGAATATTGAGCCAAGAGATCTAACATCTGAATAATTGGGGTTCAAGAAAAGAGAAAAGTAGTAATAATCTAATAACCTCTTTCCTCTCTATATAAATATATTTATGTATGCATGCTTTATGTCTTTGTATATGCATATATTTAAAAAAATAAAAACGTAGTGTCCCAAGTTAGTATAATATAGTGATTTTATTATTTTAATTGTCTGAGTAGTATTCACTGTTGCAGATGTGCCATAATTGATTTAACCAGTCCTTTATTGATGGACATGTAAGTTATATTTAAATTTTTACCATTGCAAACAACTCTAAATACCTGCTACACATGTACCTGTGTGTGTGTGTGTGTGTGTGTGTGTGTGTGTGTGTGTGTATTCTGTAACAGCTTTAATGATATATAATTCACAAACCTTACAGTTCACCCATTTAAAGTACAGTCAACCCTTGGTATCTATGGGGGATTGGTTCCAGGACCTCCCACAGATCCCCAAATTCATGGATGCTGGAAACTTTAGGGGAAGTTTAGGCAAGTTATTTAATCTCTTTGTGCTTTAGTTTCATCATTGATAAGTGGAGAAAATAATAGTACCTCTCAGATACCTAGATAGACATAGTTTTTATTATGAAAGATACTGTCAAATTGTTTTGCCACAGAAGTTATATCAACTTACACTCCCACTAGTAATGTTTAAGAGTACATATTTCGCCACAGCCTTTTGATCTTTGTCAGTGTAATAGATGAAGAAAAATATCTCAGTGTAGCTTTAATATTTATTTATCTCAAGTGGGATGGGACATTTTTTCTTGTGTTTAAGAGCTATTTATATTTCCTTTCCTATAAACTGTCTGTTCATCTTCTTTGCCTGCTTTTCTGTGCTATCGTTGATCTTTTTCATATTTCATTGTAGTAACTTTTTATAAATGTTATTTTTAAAAATTATCCTGGCCGGGCGCGGTGGCTCAAGCCTGTAATCCCAGCACTTTGGGAGGCCGAGATGGGCGGATCACGAGGTCAGGAGATCGAGACCATCCTGGCTAACACGGTGAAACCCCGTCTCTACTAAAAAATACAAAAAACTAGCTGGGCGTGGTGGCGGGCGCCTGTAGTCCCAGCTACACGGGAGGCTGAGGCAGGAGAATGGCGTGAACCCGGGAGGCGGAGCTTGCAGTGAGCTGAGATCTGGCCACTGCACTCCAGCCCGGGCGACAGAGCAAGACTCCGTCTCAAAAAAAAAAAAAAAAAAAAAAAAAAAAAAATTATCCTTCAGCTTGGGCAACATGGCAAAACCCTGTGTCTACAAAAAATACAAATTAGCCAGGTATGATGGTGTATGCCTGTGGTCCCAGCTACTCAGGAGACTGAGGTGGGAGGATTGCTTCAGCCCAGGAAGTCGAGGCTGCAGTGAGCTATGATCATTGCCACTGCACTCCAGCCTGGGTAACAGAGCAAGACCCTGTCAAAAAAAAAAAAAAATATATATATATATCTATCTCCTGTTGCTTAAGATATGCTTTACACATATTATTTCTGGGTGTTTTGATTGTCATTTGGTTTTGCTTCTGGTTCTTTATTCCTGAGATCCCTGCCCAGAGTAACGTTTTTGATCTCTAGCAGAATTTAAAAAAAAAAATTTTATGTGGTTAAGTATAATAGTTTTCTTTTATTATTTAATTTTGGGTAATACTTTGAAAGGTCTTATACCCCTTGAGAATATTAAAATATAATGGTTTCTTTTAGAACATGTATGACTTTGTTTTTGTATTTAAATATATTTGTTTCATTTTGACTTTATCTTTGTATAAGCTGTAAGATATTCAACTTATTTTTTCACCAGATGGCTACTCAATTGTCCCAATATCATTTAATGAATAAACTCCCTTTTCTTCCTAATGTAAACTGTCTTTTATCATATATGTTCTATTGGTAATCATAAACTTTTTCTTCATTCTTCATTATTTAAATGGAGTATAAATTGGGTTATAAAGGGAATGCATTATATTGAAATTATTTCTTGTCATTTTTACACTATAGGAAGAAATACAAAGAGAAAACTGTCAGGATAATATTTCATCTATGAACATGAGTATTCAGAATACATGGAAACATCTCCATGCAGATCATATTGGTCGAGCTACCAAAGCAGAAGATGAGGATAAAAGCCATTCTAGACGGTTTCAGAGTTATAAGTCCCATGGAGTCATGTCTAAAGCATGTACAAATGATGACCAAATGAAGACACCATTGAAGAGTGCAAATCCAGTCCATGCTTGTTATAGGGAGAGTGAGCAAAATAAGTCTTTATATAAAGCCAAGTCAAGCTGCAATCAAAACTTACGTGAAGAAACTACTTTTGAAAAGAATTTTATTTCTCAATCAAGGTATAGTTTAATAATTATGTGTAACTTTTATTTATTCAACGAGTATTTATTGTGTACTACAGTATGCCACACTGTTAAATACCGGGCATATAGAAATGACATGATGAAACACGGTCTTGGGAAGAGCGTAAAGTAGGAAGTGTTGGGAAAGGGGTTTGGATGGGGAGGTATGGGCCAGTTCATCTAGAGCCCTGCAATGTCATACTCTGGATTTTGGGGTTTAACTCACAGGGTATAGGGAGTGATTGAGGATTTTAAATTAAGTGGCGTAACATAGTTGAATTTTAGAAAGGGTACTCAGAAAATAAAACCTAAACGGAAACCCTTTACTTGAAGTAACAATGCATGCATTGATAATCTATCAGCAGTATAGCAAAAACTAGTTTTTAAATTTAATGTGATAAAGGGAATAGGATGTGAATAAAATTTGGTTTGGGTTTGCCCTTTTGTTTGTTCCCTGCACTTTGTCTCTAGAACATAGTCTTTTTCCCTTGCAGTTAGTTTGTGGGGCTAGACCCGGGATTGTAGCTTTTCTTAAACCCTTTACTGGGTTGTGCTCTTCTGATGGTTACAGTACTTAGGAAAAATGAAGAGGATGCTGCTACATTTTGGACAGGTTGAAGGGTAAACTAAGTACCAAGAAGAAGGGTTACATCAATACCACCCCTTTTATCTGTTTCAAGACCATTCTTGATGTTAATTTTAACTTGATTTCTCAGGTATGGGAATTGGGAAGCAGTAAGATATGGTCCTGGGCCAGCCTTCTTGACCTCCATCCTAAGCTTTCCACACCCATAGCCTTCTTTCTTCTATAGGGTTAGCCATATTTCCTTTTTTTTTTTTTTTTTTTTTTGAGACGGAGTCTCGCTGTGTCACCCAGGCTGGAGTGCAGCGGCGCGATCTCGGCTCACTGCAAGCTCCGCCTCTCGGGTTTACGCCATTCTCCTGCCTCAGCCTCCGAGTAGCTGGGACTACAGGCGCCCGCCACCACGCCCGGCTAGTTTTTTTGTATTTTTAGTAGAGACGGGGTTTCACCATGTTAGCCAGGATGGTCTCGATCTCCTGACTTCGTGATCCACCCGCCTCGGCCTCCCAAAGTACTGGGGTTACAGGCTTGAGCCACCGCGCCCGGCCTTTTTTTTTTTTTTTTTTTAAAGAGAGAGAGAGAGTTTCGCTCTTGTTGCCCAGGCTGGAGTGCAATGGCGCGATCTCAGCTCACTGTAACCTCCGCCTCTCAGGTTCAGGTGATTCTCCTGCCTCAGCCTCCTGAGTAACTGGGATTACAGGCATATGCCACCACGCCCGGCTAATTTTTTGTATTTTTAGTAGAGATGGGGTTTCTCCATGTTGGTCAGTCTGTTCTCGAACTCCTGACCTCAAGATCTGCCCGCCTCAGCCTCTCAAAATGCTGGGATTACAGGTGTGAGCCACTGCACGTGGCTAGGGTTAGCCATATTTCTACCTCAGCCAAGTTATTAATATTTTCATCTCTTTGAAATGCTTTTTTCCTCCTACAAATATATGTACATAGACAGATAGCTGTAATTATAAAGCTACTGCTATGCCTGCTACCTGATCTACAGTTCTTGCCTTTTTCTGTACTATTATCATTGTGACAGTATAATCAAAACTTGTATTTATTCATCAAGGACTACAGGGTTCAAACACACAAATGTTTTGGGGGTTAGGAAGGATTTTTAAATTCAGGTCTTTAAATGATTATTGTTAGCACTTTGCCATCCTGCACCCATGTTCATTTTTGCTCCCACTGATTTTGTTATCTCCTTTTTGCCTTCATCTCTCCTACTTCCTTCTTTTTATAATCTTTTTCTTCCAAGTTTCATCTGGCATCAATACTATTGCCCTCTGGAGTCTTATTTGACTCTAGCTCTAGAAACAAGGCTTTAATTGTTGCAGGCCCTACTTTGGCAGAATTTGGTAGATTTTGGTCGATCATGATTCCAGGTTGCTTTTGCCCATAAAACTCTGAAAATCACAACACTGCTTACAGAAACATTGGTCCACACACCAAAGAGTATGTTTACTTTTAGTAATCTGGTGTTTATTTTCTTTTAGTGACCATGTTTTTAAACACCCAGTTCACATTGCCAAAAATATAAAGCAGCAGTTACCAGTAACAGGTATGATTAAAAATGTTTCTTTGGTTTTTCAATAAAACAGATATTTAGGTAACCATATAGCTAAAAATGTACATTGGCTACGCGCAGTGGCTCACGCCTGTAATCCCAGCACTTTGGGAGGCCTAGGTGGGCGGATCACCTGAGGTCAGGAGTTCAAGACCAGTTTGGCCAGCATGGTGAAACCCCCATCTCTACTAAAAATACAAAAATTAACCAGGCGTGGTGGTGGGCACCTGTAATCCCAGATACTCAGGAGGCTGAGGCAGGAAAATTGCTTGAACCCAGGAGGCAGGGGTTGCAGTGAGGTGAGATCACACCACTGCACTCCAGCCTGGGCGACAGAGTGAGACTCCATCTCAAAAAAAAAAAAAGTCCATTGGTATATTGGCCCTCTAAAGTATAAGCCATACCTTTGACTCTTTCTGTTGTAAATCCCTTCTATTAAGATCCAGAATCTTTCTGTTTATTCACCAGCATGACTAGAGGCATAGTACTAGGCTAAGGTTTATGAAAAGCTTGATATTTAATAAATCCTTAAAATATCTGATTCTTTTCATTAATCCAAAAATCCTTCATTTTGCAATTTTTTTCCAGATCCATTTACATTATGTTCAGATATAATAAATAAAGAAGTAGTCAGTTTTCTAGCAACTCCCAGTTGTTCCAAAATGTTGACGTATAGGTGCTCAGGTAAGTATTTTTTTAATTGCAGTTGTTTCACAGTAAAAGCCTTTTATGATATTATTAACTACAATTTTTTTTTTTTTTTTGATACGGAGTCTCACTCTGTCACCCAGGCTGGAGTGCAGTGGCAAGATCTTGGTTCACTGCACTCTCCATCTCCCAGGTTCAAGCAATTCTCATGCCTCAGCCTCCCAAGTAGCTGGGATTATAGGTGCTCGCCACCACACCTGGCTAATTTTTTTTTGTTTTTTTGTTTTCGTAGAGACAGGGTTTCACCATGTTGATCAAGCTGATCTTGAACTCCTGACCTCAAATGATCTGCCCGCCTCAGCTTCTCGAAGTGCTGGGATTACAGACATGAGCCACTGCGCTTATTGTAATTAAGTAGAATTTATAATAATTCTACGCATATGATTTACTTTGTTCCCTTTGGAGAAATAATATTGTGGAGTATCAAAGTATTCAAATTAATATCTTCTATCTGGGCCAGGTGAGGCAGCTGTAATCTCAACACTTCGGAAGGCCAAGGCTGGAGGATTTCTTGAGGCCAGGAGTTCAACCAGCATGGTCAACACAGCGAGACCTTGTCTCTGTAATTAAAACAAAACAAAACAAAACAAAACAAAACACCTTTTATCAGCATCAGGCTGAGCTTCCAATATTTGTATGTATGAATCAACACAGTTAGTACCTTTTTATTACTTTATTACCTTTTTGTCATAATACCATCTATAAATTTAACCTTACTGAGTAAACATTTTTTAATGTTTTCAGAGAACCAGTTATTACTAGGTATGCATTCTGGATTATCCTGTAAACATAGGCATTAAGTTTTTAAAATACCTATTTTTATATTTATAATATGTAAATGTTTCTAGTGTTTCATGTCCATTATTTATTTTTTCTTCAGGGCTCTTGTAAATGTTCCACAATACTTATTCCATTCCTTCTCCTCCTCCTTCCCACCCCGGTATTTCCTCTTTGTTCATCTTGCTGTTGTACTCTGCTCTATGGACGAAATTGAGGTTCTCTGTATTGGGCTCAGAACATCATTATTCTTCCCTCTTGGATGAAGAGGTTATCTCTATTCCTCTAAAACTGATGTGTAGCCATAAGCTGAATCCCATATCTTTTTTTCCTCCACATTTTAATACTAATTGCAAAATCTTTCTCTTTACTCCCATTCTATTCATTAACTCCTTTTGTTCCACCTTAAACTATGCTCGTTTCTCCTCATCTCAAAAAAATACCCAATAGAGCCGGGCGCAGTGGCTCACGCCTGTAATCCCAGCACTTTGGGAGGCCAAGGTGGGCGGATCACAAGGTCAGGAGATCGAGACCACGGTGAAACCCCGTCTCTACTAAAAAATACAAAAAATTAGCCGGGTGCTGTAGCGGGCGCCTGTAGTCCCAGGAGGCTGAGGCAGGAGAATGGCGTGAACCTGGGAGGCGGAGCTTGCAGTGAGCCAAGATCGCGCCACTGCACTCCAGTCTGGGGGACAGAGCGAGACTCCGTCTCAACAACAACAACAACAACAAAACAAAACAAAACAAAAACACCCAATAGTTTGTTTGATTTGCTATCCTTTCAAGTATTCATTCACTCCTCCCAACAGATGCACGTATATCCCATTAGAAAGTAAATGTATTAGGCCGGGTGCGGTGGCTCATGCCTGTAATCCTAGCACTTTGGGAGGCTGAGGCGGGTGGATTACCTGAGCTCAGGAGTTCAAGACCAGCCTCGTCAACACAGTGAAACCCTGTCTCTACTAAAATTCAAAAAATTAGCTAGGCATGGCAGCATGCGCCAGTAATCCCAGCTACTCGGGAGGCTGAGACAGGAGAATTGCTTGAACCTGGGAGGTGGAGGTTGCAGTGAGCTGAGATCATGCCATTGCACTCCAGCCTTGGCAACAGAGCAAGACTCTGTCTCAAAAAAAAAAAAAAAGAAAATGTATTTAATAAGAATAAAGTACAAATATTTCTTTCAATTTAATTGTATTATTTTTTAAAAGGCTAAGTTGTTAGAACATAAATACTTATTAAGTTGTTTTGGATCTGACAGAATCATTAGGCATTTCTTTTGGCTTATAGGTGCCATGAACCTAGAAAGTTTGGGAATCTCTGGTCAAAAGTATTCTAGGTGGCAGAGTGGATGTTCTGTAACTGCTAACCCCCTTTCATCTCTTAGTTTGTATGAGATGGTTCTTTCCTGGTTACCATTCATTCATTCCACAAACATGGAGTGCTTAGTCCTTGGCTGGCACTGGAATCTAAGATGAATAGAACTCAGTCTTCACCTTTATCTTTCTCTTCCTGCCAGATTTCCACATGTATTCTCCTCAAGACCTAGTCTATAGCACTTATTCAGTTCTTTCACTACATTTACTTTTGTAGCATCATCTATCATTTTATTGATGGTTTTCAAATATGTATCTTGACTTTTGGCTTCTAACCTGGGCCTTATTCTTTTATTTCCAGTAGTTCTCAGCACATACCCACTTGAATATCTTCTTGTTACTTTAAGCTTAATGTATCCTAAACACAACATCCACAGCATCTTTCTTCCTTTTAAATTGGCCTCCCCACTCACTGCATTTCTGTCAGTGTTGCCACTATTTGTCTGGTCTCCCAGACTTTAAGCCTTGAATCATCCATGACTGTTCTCTCTCATTCCATCCGTTATTTCTAGTCTATCAAATTTTGTTCTTTTTTGCCACATAGGCCCTTTTCGTTTCATGCCTAAATTATCACAGCAATTTTATCTAGCAGTCTTTGTCTTAAGCATCTCCAACTCCCAACTATAATATGCATATCACTGTTAACTTATCTTCTTAATATGTGCTTTATCGTGTCATCATGCTAAACAACCCTCAGTGCTTCTCTGTAACCCATTGAATCAAGCTCTCTGCCTGGCTTTCAAAGTTGTATAGAATTTTGTCCTGCTTTCACTTGTAAAAATTTACTGTACATTTACTCTGAATCTGCTAGAAATGTGCTATGGTTATTTCAAACTTTGCCATTTATTCAAGTACTGAATTTCTTGAGAGTTATCCTAAACTGTTTCCCTTATCCCAACAGCTCATTATTCATCAAACCCTGCTAATTTTACATCAGAAATCTCTCCATTCTCCCTGCAAATGCCTTGTTTCAAAATCCCTTCATTTATTTTCTGGACTACTAAAGTAACCTCTCAACTGATCCTCTTGCGTTCAGGTGCCCTTTCTACAAGACAAATGAAATTGTGTCATCTTCCTCCTTTTATTTCTATGTTCCTCCCTGTTGCCTTGAAGAGAGTTAAAATTCCTTAACATGGTTTTCAAGATTCTTCTTGGTCTGGTTACCTGCAACCCTCCCCAGCCCCACCTTTTCTCCTGTACTTCTCTGTACTCTAGCCATATTAGAGTGTCCATGATTCTCTGAGCACTATGCCTTTTCACACTTCAGTGGTTTTGCACATCTTTATTGTACTGAAATGTCTTCATCTCAGCCAACTATCTGCGTGGCCAACTTCTAGTCCTTTAGGAATGGGCCACTAATACAATTAGGTGACAAACCGATGGAGAATTTTATAATGGACAGACATGGCTGACATTACCTGAACCTACCAATCTATCTATTTTTAAAAAATGTTTTTCCAACTTTTATTTTAAGTTCAGGGATACATGTGCAGGATGTGCAGGTTTGTCACATAGGTAAACATGTGCCATGGTGGTTTGCTGCTGATCTTTCTTAATATTTAAGAAAAGAGGAAGTTTGTCTAACCCTATTGGCTCAAGAGGCTGCCCAATTACAATTTTTTTTTTTTTAAAAAGAGAGAGACAGACAATATGTATCTCTTAATATGATAGAGTAAGAAACATACAATACTACCTGCATGGAATTCTAGTAAAAATACTTGAACCTGAATCTGACCAATCATTTAGATTTAATTACTAGTTTATAGGACACACAACATTTTAAAGGACACGACTAGGACGCAATCAGCAAAACTTAGCCTTTGAGAAACTGTAGTACAAATGACCTGGTATCTTCATTTGACAAGGAAGACAGGGGAACTGATAGATTAAAAGCCCCTTGACATATGTTAACCGAATGTAAGTCAGGCACAGTGGTGCGTGTGTCTGTAGTTCCAGCTACGTGGGAGGCTGAGGTGGGAGGATTGCTTGAGCCCAGGAGTTCAAGTCCAGCCTGAGCAACATAGTGAGACCCTGTCTCAAAAAAAAAAAAAAAAAGTAATGGTGGACCTTATTTGGATCATGATTCCAACAACTAACTTTCAAAAGAAATTTTTGAATTGATGAGGAAAATTGAACACTAGATATTAGGTTATATTAAGCATGATTTTTTAGGTGTCATAATAGTTTTATGTGTTTACAAAAAAGAGTCCTGGCCGGGCGTGGTGATGGCTCATACCTATAGCCCAGCACTTTGGGAGGCTGAGGCAGGTGGATCACTTGAGCCCAGGAATTCGAGAACAGCCTGGGCAACATAGTGAAACCCATCTCTAAAAAAAATACAAAAATTAGCTGAGTGTGGTGTTGCATGCCTGTAGTCCCAGCTACTTGGGAGGCTGAGGTGGGAGGATTGCTTGAACCCAGGAGGTTAAGGCTGCAGTGAGCTGAGATCACGCCACTGCACTCCACCCTGGGTGACAGAGTGAGACACTGTCTCAGAAAAAAACGTCCTGGCTGGGTGCAGTGGCTCATACCTGTAATCCCAGCACTTTGGGAGGCTGAGGTGAGAGGATTACTTAAGCCCAGGAGTTTGAGACCAGCCCTGGGAATATAAGGAGACCCTATGTCTACAAAAAATAAAAAAATTAGCCAGGCGTGGTGGAGGTCAGGGCTAAAAGTGAGCTGTGATCATACCACTGCACTCCAGCCTGGGCTAAAAGTGAGCTGTGATCATAGCACTGCACTCCAGCCTGGGTGACAGGGAGACCCTGTCGCAGGAAAAAAAAATCCTTATCTGTTAAAGATGCATGTGAAGTATTTACAGATGAAATGATACTTTAATGTAAATGATAGGTGTCATAATCCAGTGCATACATGGGGACAGAGCTGAGTAGGTAGAGGTATACATAAAACATGATTAGCCATGAGTTAATAATTATCGAAGCTGGATGATAGATACATGGGAGTTCAGTGTTTGAAATTTTACATAATGTTAAAAACAAAAAAGATGACTGAGCTTAAGGATCACTTCTTTTGGATATCTTCCCTTAACAGTGACTCTTGCTCAAAACCAGACAAAATAGATATTCCTTTTTCTTTTTTTTTTTTTTTTTTGAGACAGTCTCACTCTATCGCCAGGCTGGAGTGCAGTGGCGTGAGCTTGGCTCACTGCAATCTCTGCCTCCCGAGTTCAAGCGATTCTCCTGCCTCAGCCTCCCGAGTAGCTGGGATTACAGGGGCACACTAATACACTCAGTTAATTTTTGTATTTTTAGTAGAGACAGGGTTTCACCATGTTGGCCAGGATGGTCTCCATCTCCTGACCTCATGATCTGCCCGCATAGGTCTCCCAAAGTGCTGGGATTACAGGCGTGGGTCGTCCAGCCCAGCCTTTTTTTTTTTTTTTTTTTTTAAGAGACAGGGTCTTATTCTGTGTAATAACGTGATCGTGGCTCACTGCAGCCTTGAACTCCAGGTCTCAAGGGATTCTCCTGCCTCAACCTCTTAAGTAGCTAGGACTACAAATGTGTGCCACCAGGCCCAGCTAATTTGTTTTTGTTTTTGTTTTTGTTTTTGTTTTTGGTAGGGACAGGGTCTCACTATGTTGCCCAGGATGGTCTTGAACTCTTGAGCCCAAGTGATCCTCCCACCTTGGCCTCCCAAAGTGCTGGGATTACAGGCATGAGCCACCACTCTCAGCCCTAGATGCTTTTTCTTTTTTCTTTTCCTTTTTTTTTTTTTTGAGAGAGTCTTGCTGTCACCCAGGCTCGAGTACAGTGATACGATCTCAGCTCACTGCAACCTCTGCCTTCCAGATTCAAGTGATTCTCCCACCTCAGCCTCCCAAGTAGCTGGGATTACAGGCACCTGCCATCATGCATGGCTACTTTTTGTACTTTGAGTAGAGACAGGGTTTCACCATATTGGCCAGGCTGGTCTTGAACCCCTGACCTTGTGATCAGCCCACCTTGGTCTCCCAAAGTGATGGGATTACAGGTGTGAGCCACTGCGCATAGCCTAGATGCTCTTTTGCTTTTCTTGTCTTTCTTTATTTTTATTTTTATTTTTATTTTGAGACAGAGTCTTGCTCTGTCGCCCAGGCTGGAGTGCAGTGGCGCAGTCTTGGCACACTGCAATCTCCACCTCCTGGATTCAAGCGATTCTCCTGCCCCAGCCTCCCAAGCAGCTGGGACTACAGGTGCATGCCACCATGCCCAGCTAATTTTTGTATTTTTAGTAGAGACGGGCTTTCATCATATTGGCCAGGTTGGTCTTGAACTCCTGACCTCGTGATCCACCCACCTTGGCCTCCCAAAGTGCTGGGATTACAGGCGTGAGCCACCGTGCCCAGCCTAGATGCTCTTTTTCTAAAGCATCATAACTGTCTGTCCATACCTCCTTCCCAGCACTTATTTCACTCTGTTGTATTTGTTGTCTTTACTCCCTCACATGATTTTGAGCTTTTTGAGGTGTTTATATTCCTGATTTTACTTCAGTTACCATCATATAGATATTTGCTTTCATAGATTTGTTACTAGATATTTTATGACATCTACACATAACTTTAATTTGTTTTCTTTTAGGTTGCATAGCAGTAGAAAAATCCCTGAATAGCCGAAACTTTAGCAAGCTCTTGCACTCTTGCCCATACCAATGTGATCGTCACAAAGTCATTGTGGAAGCTGAAGACAGATATAAAAGTGAACTAAGGAAATTACTTATCTGTAACAAAAGTAATTAATTCAGCAGCTTTAAAACTGTAATTATGGCTATACCTTCTGAACTATTATCTAAAGCATTAAATATATCAAAAACTAGAGGGTAAAATAGTCTTAAAAAGAAAATCTGTCTCTAAGCAACCAGTAATTCAAGATGTACCCAGGGAGTAGTCTTAGACTGTTAGTTTAAAAATTCTTCCTAATCTATCTAAGTATTCCCACTAGACGGGGGAATAAAGGAAATATACTAATGGAATTGATACGCTATTACTCAGATTGATATGCTAAGTGTCCTAAATGTTTTCCATATTTTTCAGAAATTCTGCTGACCCCACGTAGAAGACGACTCAGTAATGAATCTACTACCCCTGGAAGAATAAGTGAATATATTTAATTTAATTTTTTTTTTTTTCTCGAGACAGGGTCTGGCTCTGTCACCCAGGCTGGAGTGCAGCGGAGCAATCTCTGCTCACTGCAGCCTCCGCCTCCCAGGTTCAAGTGACTCTCCTGCCTCAGCCTCCTGAGTAGCTGGGATTACAGACACGTGCCACCATGCCCTGCTAGTTTGTGTATTTTTAGTAGAGATGGGGTTTCACCATGTTGGCCAGGCTGGTCTCAGACTCCTGACCTCAAGTGATCCGCCCGCCTTGGCCTCCCAACGTGCTGGGATTACAGGCATGAGCCATTGCACCTGGCTGAATATATTTTATTTTATTTTTTTATTTATTTTATTTTTTTTGAGACGGAGTCTCGCTCTGTCGCCCAGGCTGGAGTGCAGTGGCGCAATCTCGGCTCACTGCAAGCTCCGCCTCCTGGGTTCACGCCATTCTCCTGCCTCAGCCTCCCGAGTAGCTGGGACTACAGGCGCCCACAACCGCGCCCGGCTAATTTTTTGTATTTTTAGTAGAGACGGGGTTTCACCGTGGTCTCGATCTCCTGACCTTGTGATCCGCCCGCCTCAGCCTCCCAAAGTGCTGGGATTACAGGCGTGAGCCAAATGAACTTACATTTCATATATTCCTGAGAAAGAAGAGAACAGCTGAGTAGTTGTTCTCAGTCTCATTATTAACGGATCTTAAATGATAAACCTTGCCTCTGATGAGGGTCAGACCTAATAAAAGAGACTTTCCTCTTCCCTTCATGTTGCTTGCTCACTCATTGCCTGCTAGCAGGGGAAGGAGCAGGAGGATACTAACATTTATTAAGCACCTGCTAGGTGTTAGATGGTGTATAGATATTATTTCCTTTAGTTCCTATAGTAATATTGTAAGTTAGATACTAATTTGCTCCTATTGTAAGGCATAATTATTAATAGTTGGTAAGTAGCAGAACTTAGATTCAAAAAGCCATTCTCCAGAAGCCCTTGTTCTCTCCTTACGTTTTTATTTTAAGAACAAAATTATTGGCCGGGCGCGGTGGCTCAAGCCTGTAATCCCAGCACTTTGGGAGGCCGAGACGGGCGGATCACGAGGTCAGGAGATCGAGACCATCCTGGCTAACACGGTGAAACCCCGTCTCTACTAAAAAATACAAAAAACTAGCCGGGCGAGGTGGCGGGCCCCTGTAGTCCCAGCTACTCGGGAGGCTGAGGCAGGAGAATGGCGTAAACCCGGGAGGCGGAGCTTGCAGTGAGCCGAGATCGCGCCACTGCACTCCAGCCTGGGTGACAGAGCCAGACTCCGTCTCAAAAAAAAAAAAAAAAAAAAAAAAAAAAAGAACAAAATTATTATGCACAAGCGCTTCAGAGAGACTTTGCAGGAGGTTTTTTTTTCTTTTTTTTTTTTTTTTTGAGACGGAGTCTTGCTCTGTGCCCCAGGCTGGAGTGCAGTGGCGCGATCTCGGCTCACTGCAAGCTCCGCCTCCCCGGGTTCACGCCATTCTCCTGCCTCAGCCTCCCGAGTAGCTGGGACTACAGGCGCCCGCCACCTCGCCCAGCTAATTTTCTTGTATTTTTAGTAGAGACGGGGTTTCACCGTGTTAGCCAGGATGGTCTCGATCTCCTGACCTCGTGATCCGCCCGTCTCGGCCTCCCAAAGTGCTGGGATTACAGGCTTGAGCCACCGCGCCCGGCCCATTTTTTTTCATAACTATAGTGCTTGAAACAATAAAAATTGAAGAGACAAATAGTATAAACCTTAAAACTCTGCTTAAAAAATAAAAATGTCTCTTAAACAATTAGTTTATTTATGGGAATTTTAATTTAACTATATGGTTAACATTTCGCATTGATCACCATTTCCGATTTATCAGAAGCTTAAATAACATTATCATTTTCTTTTATTCATATGGAGTTAATACCTGCAGACTAAAATAGGTTGGATATATTAATTAGTAACATCTATAGAGCCACTGTTATTTAGACATTTGAACGTGATACATTCAGGAAGCATTTTGCCACGTATATTTATTTGGCTATTTTCACTGCCAAAACTTTCAAGGAAATTTCAAATTTGCTTTTTTTATCTGAATCTTTTTCTGGATTAAAAGTTCTGCATGCAAATTATAATTAAGTATAGTACAGAAAGATGAGCCCACTTTCTGAAGTAATGTTTTCTGTAGTAATTATTAGAAAATGGGTATTTTTTCATAGAAACATCATGCACTTGGAGACCTTGTTCTTGACAAGGGCTTGGCATCAAATTAATAATAGGTGCTTTTCAACAACATGTCTTCAAAGCAAGTATGTAACAACAAAAAATATGCTATAATCTATTTGCATAGTAAAATAATTTGCAGAACTTCATGAAATGTGCATAATAATGGTTATACAATGATTATATACAGGGGTCCTATATACTATTAAGTGACATTGAGCTCAGAAAAAAACATACTTTTTTTTTTGTAGGTAAAACTTGCTTTAGCTAAAACCAAATAATCTGGCCTACTTTTTAGTATTTAGAAAGGAATCTTGAGAAAGTAGTGATTCTTACATCTCTTTCACAAGTAGGCCAGGAATATTTGGTGTGTTACCATTTTTTTCCCCTCTTAATAAACTTACCTTTTTTTAGGACACTCACCACTATTCATTTAATTATACTTTATACTCAAATTTGAGCCCATTCTTCTGAGAAGGGACCACTGTACTAAGCATTTACAGATTTCTCCAAGCCTCTATTTTAGGATGGATTGGTGTTTTGAGAGGGCTTGAAAAATAAAGAGTCCTTAGAATTAAGTCCTCTTGCCCATTTTCCCTTACTCTTCCCTAATACCTAATATTAAGACTAAATAAGTCACAGAGTGGGGAGCTTGGGGTGTAGAGAGCTGCTTCCTTCTTCCAGGCTGCTCAGTACTCTGCTGTAGGAATCTTTGAGGATTTGGGCACAGACGGTAAGTATAAAAGTCAGGGAGATGGCAGCCACGGTAGAAAAGTGGGGCTTTACATGATCAACTCCAGGGCTCAATATCCTGAAAGTTATAGTAACCAGTCTAGTCCTGATTATTATGAGTTCAAATAATTTAACAAGGGAAGTTGAAACCTATTTCTTGGATAGCCACAGTTTTCCAGTACACCCAAAATGAAGGAGTAATTTCATTGATAAGTTTTGAGATAGTTTTACCAATAATTTTGTTCTCTCAACAAGTATTTATTGACTACTACTATGTGTCAGATACTATTCTAAGCACTGGGGATACAATAGTGAATAAAATAGATTAAAATTGCTGCCCTCATGGAGCTTACATTCTAAATAATACTATTAAGCAATAATCAGACATTGTTTACACTGATAACCTTCTGCTGGGAAGATTTTTCTCATCCGTTTTAAAAGGTCTGCTATGGCTCTTAGAATAGGTAAACAAATGGCTGTCTTGGCCTGCAAGGACAAGATTTTCTAAGGGTGACTCAGGACAGCTGCACCCAGTACTACGAAAGTAAATAACAGCCTCAAGTGGAAATACAAAAAACTCCTCACCAGCATCTACCCACAATGATAACATGGGATAATAATGAATGAAAAAGCTTAAAGAAAACTGTTTCCTAGTAATCATCACCAGAAAATATTTGTTTACAGATATCAACTGTATATTCTTTCTTTATAGAAAGTATCCCTTAAAAACCAGATAGCTAAAAACTTCCTTCCCCATTGTGCAGCCTATATTTTGAGTTTTGATCTAGCTGACCACGTGTTTTTAAAAGCAAATTTCAAAAGACCCTTATTCTTAAAAATATTATCAAACTTAATATTTAAAGTAACAAGTGTTGATATTCTTTTTTATTCTATCAAGTTATGGAGCCCTTTGGGAAGACTGTAAGATATGCAAGCTGTTTTTTATTTATTTATTTATTTTTAAATTTTGAGATAGTCTTGCTCTGTCACCCAGGCTGGAATGCAGTGGCACGATCTCAGCTCACTGCAACCTCTGCCTCCCAGGTTTAAGCAATTCTTGTGCCTCAGCCTCCTGAGAAGCTGGGGCTACAGTCATGTGCCACCATGCCTGGCTACTTTTTGTACTTTTGGTAGAGACAGGGTTTTGCCATGTTGACCAGGCTGGTCTCGAACTTCTGACCTCAAGTAATCCACCTGCGTAAGCCTCCCAAAGTGCTAGGATTACAGGCGTGAGCCACCATGCCTGGCCAGGAAGATATTGGTTAACTGTCCTCACAGGAATGTTGAATTAACAATCAAATGTTTATAAACTGTTGTTTCTTGATTGAAAGATATTGTATTACTACTATCAATTAAGTTATAATTACTGAAGAAGTCACAGTGATAGCAACTAGCTTAATATTAGGCACTCAGGTTTTTAAAATTGAAGTGGGTTACCACATGATGAGAAGCCCTGGCATTTCTCTATATCCTTAGGTATAAGGTAAGCATATCCAAATAAGCACTTATTTGCATCTCAGGACCTTTGTTCAGCAAATACTAATATATTCTACAATCCTAATTACAGAAAAAAGAAGAGTTCGCAAAAACTTTACTGAAGAAGAAGTAAATTACCTTTTCAATGGAGTTAAGAAAATGGGAAATCACTGGAATTCAATTTTGTGGTCTTTCCCCTTTCAGCAAGGACGGAAGGCTGTGGACCTTGCTCACAAATACCGCAAACTGACCAAAAGCCCCATGTGTGCAGCTTCTTCTTTGGAAGAAGACTGTCAGTTTAGTTTGGATTTTTAAAATACAGTGCCTTGAAAGATACAACATTTAAAGTATTTTTCTAAACTCTCATGAGAAGGAATGTGGAAATGAGGACACAGTTTTTATTAAACAGTTTTTGTGATGCTGAAACTCATCAAGTTATTACAATGATTTATAAAGCAAATATATCTCCAGTGTACAGATTAGTAAGATAAAATTCCTTTGTAAGATCAAACATTTGTTTAGGAATATGCTTTTATTTTTCCTTAAGCTTAAATGACATAGAGAAAAGAATTATCAGCCTTTAAACGTTATTTGACATTATATTGCAATAAATACTATGTGAGACATTTGGATTTTATACGGTACAAAAGTCCCTCCCTAGAATTCAGAAAGAATAGTTCCCCAAGCTGTTTAACTAAGGTTCCCACACACTAAATCAATATTTGACATTTTGTTAATTTTTTTTTTTTTTTTTTTTTTTTTTTTTTTTTTTGAGACAGAGTCTCGCTCTGTCGCCCGGGCTGGAGTACAGTGGCCGGATCGCAGCTCACTGCAAGCTCCGCCTCCCGGGTTCACGCCATTCTCCTGCCTCAGCCTCCCGAGTAGCTGGGACTACAGGCGCCCACCACTGCGCCCGGCTAATTTTTTGTATTTTTTAGTAGAGACGGGGTTTCACCGTGTTAACCAGGATGGTCTCGATCTCCCGACCTCGTGATCCGCCCGTCTCGGCCTCCCAAAGTGCTGGGATTACAGGCTTGAGCCACCGCGCCCGGCCCATTTTGTTAATTAAAACGTTTCCTTGGCTGTGGTGGTGGCTCATATTTGTAATCTCCCACTTTGGGAGGCCAGTGTGGGAGGATCACTTGAGGCAAGGAGTTTAAGACCAGCCTGGGCAACATAGTGAGACCCCCATCTTTACAAAAAATTTAAAAATTAGCTGGATGTGGTGGCATGCCCCTGTGGTCCTAGCTACTTGAGAGGCTGAGGTGGGAGGATCGCTTGAGCCCAGGAGTTCGAGGTTGTAGTTAGCTATGAGTGTTCCACTGTACTCTAGCCTGGACTAGAGAACTAGACCCTGTCTCTTAAAAAAGTTACCACTTCTATTGTTTACTGTAGTATCGTAGAGGGAAAAAAAATTTCTTCTTCTAAAGACTATGCAGTGCTTTGAATACTTCCACATTGTATAGTCAGGTTCACTTCTTTGTAGTGTATGTTTATTTGCTTTAGCTTTTCAGAAGTGTCTACACTTTCCCCTCTTCTCCCTCTATGTCTTTATCCTTCATATTGATGAGCCCTAGTTACTTTATCCTTCATATTGATGAGCCCTAGTTACTTCTTATTGATGAGCCCTAGTTACTTCATATTGATGAGCCCTAGTTACTTTATCCTTCATATTGATGAGCCCTAGTTACCTAATTGTCAAGCAGAACGATGTCTTGTCCCCTTAGGAGTTTAGTCACTGACACTGGATAATTGTCTTTGCAAAATGTGTCCAGAAATGTCACCCTAAGAAATCCAGCCTGACTTGCATGGGGGGCTAGCTTCTTTATTAGCATCAGTGAGGTTTTATGGGTTCTACCCTAAGATGCTTCTTGTCATTCTACATGACCAACTCTTAGATTATAGTTAATGACGTTTAGATTATAATTTTTATTTTAAATAATTTCATATCCTATTCCTATGCATTTTTAAATTTAATTTTACTTTATTTGACAGAGTCTTACTCTCTTGCCCAGGCTAGAGTGCAGTGGTGCAATCTCAGCTCACTGCAGCCTCTGTCTCCTAGGTTCAAGCAATTATCGTGCTTCAGCCTCCCAAGTAGCTGGGATTAAAGGCGCATGCCACCATTCCTGCTAATTTTTTTGTTTTTTTTTGTATTTTTAGTAGAGATGGGGTTTTGCCATGTTGGCCAGGCTGGTCTGGAACTCCTGACCTCAAGTGATTCGCCAGCCTCGGCCTCCCAAAGTGCCAGGATTACAGGTGTGAGCCACCGCACCTGGCCTTCATATGCTTTTTTGTTAAACCTTTCTACAGGACTTTAATGTTCCTACTAAATTTCATCTTGTTAGATTTAGTCTCTGCTCAGTTTGTCAAGCAGTAGATAAGGCAACCCTTCCTGCTTCAGGTCATCCACAACTTCCATTACTGCCGCTGTATTCTTATCCAAGTCACTGATGGCACCCTGAATTGGCTGGCCAGGGCAGGAGGTTTGGGCAGGCCCCTAGCAGCCTCTTCTGCTGGTCCCTCCTCTTCATCAGCCACCTCTGGGCTAGTCTTTAATAAGCCTCAATGCTATCATCCAGCATTGATTTCACTTTCGCATCTAAGATGTGAATTGTCAAATGCCCTGTTGAAATCTGCATTTGCTATATCTGCAGCATCCGCCTACCTGGTACTCCTGCAAAAAAGAAAGATACTGTGTAAATCTGGTACTCTCTTTTCCTTTAGTGTCTAATCACAAAATTTCACTTAGTGCTGATTAAGCTCACTGGACTGTAATTTTCAACTCCATCTTCTGTCCTGTGAAAATTCAGCACTCCTTCCCCTTTTAGGACTTCTGGCACTTTGCCTGATTTTCCCAGATTTCCAAGGGAGGAACTCAGTGGGTTTTCACTTTCATTGTCTTGTTTAAACCTTACATCCAGTTTGGCAGATGATATGCCCATTTGTTTTATCCCGTAATTCATGCTGCCAGATTTTTGGCGTCAGGATCACAATCCTACTCATATGAAACCCACTCAGGTGGTGCTTTTCTGCCATATTCCACTTCCTTGTGATATTTAGAAATGTCTTCTTAGCCTGTTTCCATAGAGAATGGCAAGAGCCCTCAAGTAGAGGCCACACCTAAAATTAAGCTTGATAATGGAATGTATGTTTTTCCTTCGGTTACTCTCCGCTCTTTCCCTTTTCCATCCCCTTTCCTTTTGTTTTCCTTCCCACTCTGCACCTGCCACCTGGCCCCCAAGGAAATTAAGGGCTCCTCTTCTAGTGTGAAATGCTGGCTCCCTGAAAACATCATTTTAAAAAGCATGTTAATAAAGCAAAGCCAAGTGTATTATGCACTGTGGTCAAGAGCACTAACTCACAGTCTAGTCTTCCGAGGAGGAAGGGGAAAAGCAGGATATTTATGAGGATTCTGGCGTCTTGCTTAAGGCTGGTCTTTCAATGCAGGGCTTGAGTAGGGTTAGGCCAAGTTGATAATATAATAGTCCAGGGTTGGGGAATAAATTAGAAGTGTCGAATGTTATTTTCTAGTCTTGGGTTCTTAGGTGGGTTTCTTAAATTTTCTGAGCTTCAGGTTCCTCATCTGTGAAAGGGTTAGATAAGATTCAGTGAGATAATGTGTGACTGGCACATAGTGAGCTCCAGATAAATTGCGCTTTTGTGTGCATCAGTCTCATTCCCAAAGCCTAGGCTTTACGGTCATGCGGCTGCCCGACCCCCGAGGGCACAGCGGAATCCGCGAGCTTGGCGGGGCGCTGCGCTGCGCCCCTCAACCGGCAGAGGCCGTCAGAGCGCCCTCGGTCCAGACGGTGCCCGCCTCTGCCACCGCCTCCCCGCGCATGGCTGCCCCGGCGGCTGCCTGACCGTCGCCCGCCACCTCGGCGGCCTCGCAACCTGTGGGAGCCCGTGGCCATCGCAGACCTAGAGGGCACACTGGGTGGCGCAGTCGCCGCGGCAAGCTCGGCGGGCGGCGCGTCGCGGGGGACGGCGAGCGGGGGGCGGCCCGGCCGGGGTCCTCGCGGGTCCTCGGCGGGCCCGGGGGAGGGCCCTCTTTGTGGCTGCAGTTGGCAAGATGGCGCCGGTGGGGGTGGAGAAGAAGCTGCTGCTGGGTCCCAACGGGCCCGCGGTGGCGGCCGCCGGCGACCTGACCAGTGAGGAGGAGGAAGGCCAGAGCCTATGGTGAGGTCGCGGGCGGTCGGGCCGGGCCGGGGAGGCCGCGGCCGCTGGGCCGGACCGTCGGACACACTGAGGGGCCGTCGCGAGCCGGGCCATCCCAGTCCGGCCCGGGGCTGACCACTCTCACCATTGTCGCCGCAGGTCCTCCATTCTGAGCGAAGTGTCCACCCGTGCCAGGTCGAAGCTGCCGTCCGGCAAGAACATCCTGGTCTTCGGTGAGCACCGGCAGCGGGGCGTTGCCCCAGGGCGCTGGGGTGGGCGAGGCGGGCGCCCCTCCCACAGGTCCCCGCCTTCCCCTTGCCCGCCGCCTGCCCGCAGCCTGGCGGGAAAGGGACCGTCGGCCCTGGCCGGGCAGCTGGAGTGTGGCCAAACCTCCCGCGCCCGAGGGTGGGATGCTGCCGTCTTTGGAGAGCCTAGTGGTGCTCTGGGGTTGTCGGCACATTGTTTCAGTCATTTGGCGTTCTATGCCTCCATAGCCTCGAAGATTACCAAATTGAGATCGTGGAGAGGGGAGCTAGTAAATGAGGTTAGGTGGAAAAGGTGGGAGAACTAGGTGACCTGGGCTTGGAGCTGTGGGGAAATGGCCACGGGAGCCTTCTTTGAGCCTCATCAGGAGTGCATAGTCTGAGGTTTTAGGGACTTTGCAGAGGACAGAGAGTCGGCACTGGGGACGTTTCCTGCATTACTCCAGCCCTCACTGCTAGGTTACCTGAGTCAGGTCTCTCAATCCCTCTGGCCTCACTCTCCTCAAGTGAGGGAGTTGGGGTACATTCACACAGCAAGTTGCTTGGGACCTGTGGGCTGGGCACTGGCTCAGCATAGACGTCTCTTAAACACTATACAAGAATCTCAGTTCGGTGGAAGACAGATCCATGCCGATTATTGTGGAAGCATCACACAGCTTGGAGCTGTTGAAGGAGGATGATTTGGGAGTTGAGTATTTTGCAGAAAAGTGTCAGTATGCAGGGACACAGATGACAAGAGGGTGTGGGGTTTGGAAACTGCTCGAAGCGCCTTGTGGTTGATGGCTGCTAAGGTAAGTTGGGGGCAGATCGTGGGAAGGCTGAAGAGTTAGTGCTGTTTCCTGAAGTTCTCTGATTCTCAAAGGCCTGTTATCTCACCTCCATCCCCCAATTCTCATGGGAATCACTGCCTTGGTAGTTTTCCTACTGCTACTGACGAGAATGTGTGACCTTCCTCAGGAAATGACTGTGGTCGGTAATACTGGACCCTTAGAGATCTTCAAGAAGTGGGGGATCAAGATCACCAGATCTGAGTTTT